AGAGAACCCAGCCCTCTCTGTCTGTTCTGAGCAAGTCATTTAGTCCTCGCAGCTGTTGTGTGTGGTTGCTGTGAACGTGACCCCTGTTGTACAGTTGAGGAAACTGAAACCAGGGAGCATCCTCCAGGGGTGCCCCTGCCGCCTGGTCTTCCCGTGGCCTCCTCCGGGTCTTCTGTCACTCAAGTGCTGGTCGGGGAGAGCTGCTGGGGCCCTGCTCCACCGTCACACTCTCTGACTTGTGAATGGAACCCCCCGCCCCTTGCCCCTCTGCCCTTCTCTCCCGGAGAGCTGTATGCAGAGTCCTTGGGAGGCCTCCTCGCTCTCTTGTTAGTGTTCAGAAAGTCACCTTCTATGAGAGGGTTAAGGAATATATTTCTTCAGGCTGCAGAGGAAGATTGGGTGGGAAATTCTATAGGCGACGTCATGCTCCCGAAGGAGTATTTTGCCTGTGTTATTGAGTATTTTTTTTCCATCATAACATACATTTAATTAATTAAATAATTTAATTGAAGTATAGTCAGTTTACAATGCTGGGTCAGTTTACAATTTCTGGTGTATATTGAGTATTTTTTATAGTTTCACTGGTGATAGAACAAGAAAAGAGAATATAGACTTAATTTTATTAAAAATCTTCCTGTTTAGTTAATACTAATTAAACACCTTCCTGGTTTGTGTCAGTGCCCTTAAACTTACAACCCAAAGTCTTTATGGAGATTCTAGGTGGAGGTTGAAGGTTGCATTTGAAGATACCTTTTATAACTGGGGTTGGGAGTGACTAAGGTTCAAGGCTTTCTAGGTACAATGCATTGGTTCTTTAAAGATTTCAATTTTTTTCCCTATTGTCATTTCATAACTTCATTGTTAGGGGATATGAACTTTGGAAAATTTAGCTTCTACATCTAAGATTTTTTTTTTTTTTTTACTATTCTGACTAATCTTTCCATTCAAAGGTATAACAAAAAATCAAGATGGCATGTTTGTGATTATTTTTCTCTTTAAAAGGGTTCTCTTCATCTGGATCAAGCAGTCCATGCTGAAGTAGCTTTAATGATTCTGGAAGCATACCAGAAGTACCTTGCACAGAAGCCATACACTGGGCTTCTCTCTGAAAGTATGAAACAGGTATTTCCTTCTCTCATGTATTGAGGACATAAAGCTTTGTGATAAATAGCCTGGGTGAATAAAGTTACAACTTTTACCCTTAGGTTTCTTAAGAACATTTCTGGCAATTTAAGATATTGAAATTGAGTTCTATAGTTAGAGAAAGATCTTTCTTTAAGAAGTAACCTACATATGAATATTTTAATATTGTGGAATTTGAGTTGAGCTGCAGTGGTGTGCTGGAGCTGGCTTGTAGTGGCTCAGGAGAAATGGTTGTTAAATTTTTAGGAACTCTGCAAGCCTAGTTGTTAACCTGTCGGCTTGAAATTGACCAGGGTAGGAATTTTTTATACTGCCGAAGTTGGTGAACCCTAAGTGAGCCCCCACACTCCAAATGGCTGTTAAATTTATTTACTAGCACACCATTTGTTGCATACCAGTTTTCATATTATTGCTCTTCTGCTTAAGCTGACCCAGATAAGGTTCACAAGGTGACTGGCAAGAAAGCAGAAGTGGTCAGTTGTGAGTGAGAAATTGCTTCATTTAGTGCTAGAAACACTGAGTACCAGTAAGCATTCTGTCCTCTCTTTTGAGGGCATTCATTGTTCATCACCAAAAGAGATGGGTGGACAAACTTAGTGAGTTAATGTGTATGTGACTAATGTGGCTTAAAATAAATAATTGTTTTAGGTTTCATATTTGGCCAGTATTGTTCGATATGGAGAGACACCCGAGACTTCATTTAACCAGTGGGCCTGGAACTTGATCTTGAGGTTAAAACTGCACAAAAATGACTATGGAATACAGCAGAATTGTCCAACAGTTCCCTTCTCCAGCACTGTGCCTGAAATGACGGAGTCACCCACGTTCCATCCTCTCTTGAAGGCTGTCAAGGCAGGCATGCCCATTGGCTGTTATCTGGCCTTGGCTATGACGGCTGTGGGCCACAGGTACAGTGTTTGGGCTGAACTTCTGGGGTTGGTGAACCTCGCAGTCAGTGATTCTGGAATCTCATCTTTAACATCCCAGGGTCTGAGGCCTCCCTCAAACCTGATTATTTGGTAATCAGGGCCAAATAATAAGCCTTGACTAATAGCTTATCAAGGGGAAATTCATATCACAGATTTATAACAGAAAAATCACCTTGCTGCATTGTGAAGAGTGTTGCCCAGGGCAGTGTTCATGTTAGCAGTAGACGGAGTCTCTTCTTCAGGATAATGTTCGAATAAAAATAATTGGTCACCTGTACTGAATTTTGTTTAAAGTGATGGCAGCCCAACTCAGGCTTCTCAACTAAAGTTTGGGCTCAGCCTGCCCAGGGGAATGACATGCCTGATGGAGTCATGTGCCTCTGTATGAGCCTACAGCTGTCTCTGTTTCTTCCACTACAGCATTTATCACACTGTATTGTAGTTGTCTGTTTAATCTTATCAGAGATCTGTGAGGTTAGGACTCAGGAACCATATTTGTCTTTTTTCTTTTTTTTTTAAATTGAGTTATAGTCAGTTTACAATGTTGCATCAATTTCCAGTGTAGAGCACAATTTTTCAGTTATACATGAACATACATATATTCTTTGTCACATTTTTTTTCACTGTGAGCTACCACAGATCTTGTATATATTTCCCTGTGCTACACAGTATAAACTTGTTTATCTATTCTATATATACCTGTCAGTATCTACAAATTTCAAACTCCCAGTCTGTCCCTTCCCACCCCTCTCCCCCAGTACCCACAAGTTTGTATTCTATGTCTATGAGTCTGTTTCTGTTTTGTTTTTATGTTCTTTTGTCTTTTTCTTTCTTTTTTTTTTTTAATTCCACATATGAGTGATCTCATATGGTATTTTTCTTTCTCTTTCTGGCTTGCTTCACTTAGAATGACATTCTCCAGGGACACCCATGTTGCTATAAATGGCATTATGTTGTCATTTTTTATGGCTGAATAGTATTCCATTGTATAAGTATACCACATCTTCTTTATCCAGTCATCTGCTGATGGACATTTAGGCTGTTTCCATGTCTTGGCTATTGTAAATAGTGCTCCTATGAACATTGGGGTGCAAGTGTCTTTTGAAGTAGGGTTCCTTCTGGATATATTCCCAGGAGTGGTAGGAACCATATTTGTCTTGTGGTATTTTATCCCTAGTGGTGAAGCCTCTGTCTGGTGTAGTAAGTAAATGAATGCATGAATGAATTCTCAGTTTGTTAAAAATCCTTTTCTTTAAAGATAACTTTCCTACAGTGTGTTAATTTTTTCTAGTCTGTCCGTTTTTCTAAAACCTCTTTGACCTATGCTTTCTGATCCTTGTGTTTTAGATTCACTGTAGCATGTTTTTAGCATCCTGATTTCAGCATCTTGTTCCACATTAAGTATATTTTCAGGGGGATGCTTAGGTGTCCTGTCAGCTATTAGTGTTCAGCCTGTGTGATGAAGTAGGGGAGATACAGAACTGTTGGGTAGCTGTCCCCAGGTTGTTGACAGCTTAGTGGACATGGGAGACATAAAACAGTTGGCAGTACTGAAGGGTATCATCATGAGCTGGATGCTACGGGTAGAGCATGGCTTCTCAGTCCTGGCTGCTCTTCAGAATCACTTCAAAAGTGATTCTGCCAATACAGGGAAGAGAGTGAGAATCCTTATCTCATTGATCTGGGGGCCGGTTCTCCAGGTGATTCTAATGCACAGCCTGGACTGAGGACCTCTCAGAATATAAGCAGAATTTAAAAAAAGGAGAGATCATTAGAGCAGGAGGCCTTCAGGGAGGAGCTAAGCTTGGAGAGGAGTCTTAATCAGAGAAGACATCCTAGGCTAAGGAGCAGAGTGGTGATGCCGCGTGCCCGCAGTGTTGAAGATTCCGTCCAAGGGCCACCCACACCCGCCCTGAGGCACCTGTCACTTCTGAGCAGCCTGCCGTGTCCTGGTGTCAGTTTCTCTCTCCCTCTCCTCGGGGGCTGCTTGCTCCTGGATGGTAGGGGCGTTGTCTTGTTCACCTTCATATCTCCAGAACTTGAACTTCATGGGTATTTTTTTCTTACAGTTTTATTGAGATATAATTGACATATATCACGGTACCAGTTGAAGGTGTACAGCATAATGACTTGACTTATGTACATTGTGACATGATTACCACAGTAAGTCTAGTGACCCTTCCTCATCTTGTGTAGATACAAAATCAAAGAAATAGAAATGTTTTTTCTTGTTATGAGAACTCTTGGGATTTATTCTCTAGACAACTTTCATATATAATGTACAGCAGTGTTAATTATATTTATCATGTCATTCATCACGTCCCTGGTGCTTATTTGTCTTATATAAGGAAGGTTGTAGCTTTTGACTGCCTTCATCCAGCTCCCCCTTCCCCTCCATCCTGGCTTCTGGTGACCACATGTCTGATCTCTTATTCTGTGAGTTTGTTTGTTTGTTTTTAATGTGTAATTGACCTATAACACTGCATTAATTTCTGTTATACAACATGGTGATTAGATACTCCTGTACATTTCTAACTGATCACCACATAAGTCTACTTCTGATACGTCACCGTACGAAGATACTGCATAGTTATCGACTACAGTCCCCACACTGTACATCTCACACCCATGACACGTTTGTTTTGCACTTGGAAGTTTTTACCTCTTAAGCTCCCTTACCTATTTCTTTTCTCCCTTCACCACCCCGCCACCCATAGTAAGTATTTCATTGTATGACTGTGGGAAGGAGCACCAGGTATCTGAGGGGGAGGGAAAGTGATGGGGAAACACTCCTGACTGAAGCCTGTGATTCCTCTTGGTGAATGGAGGTCATCAGGTAGATTGGTAGAGCCCAATTATGGACAGATCTGAAAGTAAACGAGGACAGAATTGAGCTACTAGGAAGAGGAGAGATGTTATTTGAGCCCTTTGGGAGACACTCAGCACATTGTTTCTAGTAGCCCTAGTGTCATTCACACTTCCCTGTGCCTCAGGTTCCTCATCTATAAAATGGGAACAATAATAGTGTCAGACTTACTTTATGAGGCTTCAGTGCGTTATGAAACATTAACATGCCTAGATGGTGTCTGGCGTGTTATTTATGGATTACTTGAGTGTAGTGTTCGGAACTTAATTGTTTCATGATTTCTCTGATTTCTTATATTCATTCTGGGACTGCAGCACTTTATTCACGGATACTGAGTGACAGTGAGAATAAGTGTTTCTCTTTGGGGCTGAACTCACTGTGGTCATCTGGGACGAATATATACTAGAACTGACTGAAAACAGTCTTATGAATGGGCTTAGAGTTGGGGGCAGCGTACACAGAACGTAACTTATACATGAATATAAATTCATAGACAGTACAGAGAACCATAGTCAAAAAAACCACCCAGAATCTTTCTCATCCTAATAAAACATTGCTTATTTTTTCTGTTTATTTTTATTCAGTATGTTTTCCTTGGATCTTTTCTAGAGCTATAATGTGTATGTAATTTTATAGATCCTTTGTTTTTCACCTGTAATACTGTAAACGCTTCCTTAGGGCATAATCTGCATTATTACTTTCATTTTTTCAACAGGTTTTTTTCCCTCTAAATTAAAGCAGTGTAACCAAACTATAGAATTAGGAAAACAGAGAAAAACCCACTCACTTTTTGCACTCCAATACACGAGCATTTTGGTGTGATATCATCTGTTTTTCCCCTGTCTATATAACTCTTTTTTTTTTACCAGTAGTTATAATCAGAAGTATAAAATTTTATGTTTTTTTCCTACTATCATTATTGCAGAAGTATTTTTCCATAATGCCCTTGGCCACCATATGCATTCTTTTAAAATTATTCATAATACTCCCGTTGAATGGATTTTTCCAAAATTTACCTTGTCATTTATGCCTCTGAGTTCACAATTATAAATAATTCTGAGAAGTACATTTTCACATCGGTCATCTATCATATTTTTCCTATTTGAGATTATTTCTTAAGGTAGATTCTCTGAGGAGTCAAAAAAAAAAAAAAGTAACTTTCTATGCCACATTGGTTTCGGAAAATTTTTGCCTGTTTGTACAGACAGATTGAGCTCACTTTTGAATCTTTGCTATAATACCTTTTGGGAATACACAGACAGTGAGAGCCTCGTGACCTTTGGACGAAGCACAGTTTGAGAAGCAAAATGCTCTGGACTAGACATTTGCAAACCTGGGTTCTCATTTAGACCG